GAGTAATCAGGATGCCTTTTGAACAGAGCATAGTGAGGACTATGCTGACCCAGAACATGAGTTATTTGGTAGTTTATGAGGCGAACAGCAGTGGCTACAGCTTCAGGCCAAAATCTAGCGGGAACATGAGATGCTAATAACATGGCTCTAGTCAACTCTACGACATGACGATTCTTACGCTCTACAAGACCGTTTTGTTGGGAGACACCAGGACAAGATTTCTGAGTTAAAATTCCCTAAGAACGAAACAGACGATCTAACGGATTAGAACTGAACTCCCCACCCGGATCAGATCTAATTATACGAACGGATTGACCAAATTGAGTTTGAATCATTTTTAAAAAATCTGTGGCAACCGAATAAAGATCAGACTTGAGTCGAAGAAAATACACCCAAGTAAAACGAGTGGCATGATCAACAAATAACGCGAAATACTTGTAACCATGTCGCGAATCAGTGGGAGCTGGACCCCAAAGGTCGGTATGAACGATATGAAAGGGTTCTGAGATTATCGTAGTACTAGAGGGAAAAGAGCTACGAGTGGATTTTGCTTCAACACAGCTAGTACACCGAAAATCGCCTGAAGAAATATCAACCTTCTTATTCCCAAACAGTTGTTGTTTAAACATGGTTACAAGCCGACTCGAATGAGGGTGACCAAGACGAGAGTGCCACAAATCAAACTCATTATTGTTCAAACTGGAAAAGACAGGAGACGAACTAGACTCGAGACTAGAAGAAAGATGACCCGATGAAGGTTGACCCGACAGTTCTTCAAGCTGAAAAACACGCCCATGCTTACTCCCCCTTCCGATCTGCCTCCCCGTCTTCAGATCCTGAACCACACAACCAGAGGCATCGAACACAACACGACAATTTTGCTCAGTAAGTTGCCCAACCGACACCAAATTAGGAACAAGATTTGGAACGCATAAGGTATTAGACAGGTTCATGTTAGGCTTCTCAATGTTACCAACACCCTTAACCGATAACTTTTGGCCATTCGCCACCTGAATAGAACTTGTAGCAGCTGAACTTAATTGTTTAAACAATTTAGAGTGACCCGTCATATGATTAAAACAGGCTGAATCCAAAAACCAAGGAGGAGACGTACCAGATTTCTGAAGCGTAGCAAATGCGCTAGTAATTGCCGTGGGCAATGAGCGCTGGAGAGCAGAGTTGACTAGCTGTTCGACAGCTTGGACAGCAGCAGGTTGGACAGCATACGCACCCCCAGTAGCAGACGTATGCGAGCTGGAACCGGACTGACGAGGCTGAATGAGGCGGCAATCAGTGATGATATGCCCTTTCTTCTTGCAGTACACGCAAAAGTTCTTTTGCCTACAGAACTTCTGAAGATGACCAGCTTGACGACAATGATGACAAATAATCTCAGAGGTACGACGTTGGAATTGAGGTCGATTGACAGCAAAAACTTCGTCCGCACCCACTGGCGGTGCCGACCTTCGTTGTCCAGCACCCGCGGCATCCGGTGAGTCCGCTACCGCGAAGACAGCTTCCCCAGCTCCCGGCCGGAGATCCAGTTGCGCCTGCGTCCGTAGACGCGTTTCTTCTCGAACAAGAGTGGCTAGAATGCCATCCATTTTCAGATTTTCGCGCTGCAACAGATTTGCGCGAACAGACTCGAACTCTGGCTTGAGGCGACTGAGAAACTGCATCATCCTAGTGCGCTGGCGATCTTGGATCACCTCGGCCGAGGCGGTAGCTGAGCACAACGCCGCGGTCAGCAAATCTTGTTCCGTCCATAATAATTGAGCTTCATTGTAATATGAAGTCACATCCCTATCTCCCTGTTCAAGACGCGCCAATTCAAAGGTAATTTCAAATTGACGCGCCAGATCAGTGGTGGTATATGTTTGGGCGAGATGAACCCAGATGTCGGGAGAAATACACCTCATACCATTCAACTTTGAGAATTGGGGCAAGGATACCACTAAAGTCAAGTTAGGGCATCCGGTACCATGTAAATCAATTAAAAGTGCATCCTTCCAATTTTTCATCCATCTCACTAACGGAGAGAGAGAAAAAACAAAAAAAATGCTAACTCATCACACACGTCATCAATCTGACAAGTCATTTATTTTTTTCCACCTCACCCTTGGAATCTCCCATGAGTCCCTTCCTCCCAAACACGTTACACTCTGTCTTCCTCCCTTCTTCTCTCTTTACTAGCTGCAGAAGCAGAAAGACTAAAATATTTGTTTTCTACTTCTTGAATTCCATTAAACAAAACAAGAAGTACCATTTGTTTTTGCATAGTATTAATAAAACGCTTACAGTAGGTCTGAAAGAAACACATATGTAATCAATTTATGCAAACAATAAACAATTTCCTGAAAGTATAACTCAACCAAATTCCTTGCCTACTAATTCAAACACTATTCTCGTGAAAGTGACGAGTAGCCTAAAAACGCTAACCTACAATCTAAGAAACAGTCTACAAAAGCAAACATCATAGATTTCCATTCTCCCCTCTCGTTCCGCCATTTTGGCTTCTTCCTCCACTTGATGTTCCTCTTCTAGGTACAAAAGGTTTCCTTCCATTTCCTGGTCTAGCCCATACCCGTTCTCCTTGATGGACCTGAAGATGGAAATTGATGGAACAAAATAGTGAAGTTAGTTTAAATATCAATAAGACCATACATGATTTTTAGTTTAAAAGAGAATAGTTACGAGCTGAATATGTTTACCCGAAATCCCAAATTAGGTGGTGCTGAAGAGACAATGTTCATTGTTTGCTCGTTATGTAGTTGATTCACATCATAGGTGGGTTGAGTCAAGGGATGGCTTTGGCTGGACCACACATGTTCTGCATGACATAATTCGCAAAATAACAAAGTAGGGACCACTAACCTTACACAAACAAGAAAGAAACAAAATATTAGCAAAGAGTTGCATTGCACATTTGCACTCTACCATTCATCTGATGCACAAGCAAACATAAGCGAAGCCAACATACTTCTATATTATCCAACCTAAACCCTAAATCAATTTAAAGCAAAAGACAATACGAAGTTGGAAAAAGAAATAACTCTTACCATATAGGGGTCGACAATCTGCGGGCACGCTCACAGTTGGAATCATCTTTGGGGGAAGATGAAGAGGCCGTGGGACTCGTTTTGCCTATTGTTTTGTTCAGTGCCAATTACACCGTATTTGGGAGGAAGACAGAGTGGAACGCGTTTGGGAGGAAGGGGTTTATATTTGGATTCTTATTAGGTTTTCTTTGCTTCGTATAGATGGGACTCATGGGAGATTCCAAGGGTGAGGTGGAAAAAAAATAAATGACTCACCAGATTGGTGACGTGTGGTGTGATGAGTTGGCATTTTTTTTTTGTTTTTTTTCTCTTCGTTAGTGAGATGGATGGAAAAATGGAAGGATGCACGTTTAATTGATTTACATGGTACCGGATGCCCTAACTTGACTTTAGTGGTATCCTTGCCCCAATTCTCAAAGTTGAATGGTATGGGGTGTATTTCTCCCCCCAGATGTCCCTCGCCGATCGAAGCAAACGAAGACCCAAACAAATGGTTGGATCGATAGTGCCCAGCAGATAGGCCTTCACCCTTGCATCAGTCTGCGTCCACCGCATCAGCTCTTCGGCAGTTGACGGTGGAACAGTTGGCCGTGCCGATGTACCGTCCAGAAACGAAAGAAGGCCCTTGCCTTCAATAAAGATGCGAACCTGGAACTCCCATAGAGCATAGTTCTTGGAGTTCAACCTAACAGCAATCCGATCAGAATCCATAGACGAAAGCTCTGATACCATGTTAGCTAGTATCAAACGCACTTAATTACGTATACGAAAACAAAGAAGGAATCGAGACACGCGATTTACGTGGTTTCCCCGAGATCGGGACTAGTCCACGGGAGAGATAGCACTCTCCGAGCTGATCGTATTATTAGGTTTTTCCTTAGTCCGGCTTACAAGTCTCGTGTTACATATATACAGCCTGCTAACTCTAGCTCTTCTCAAGCATCACCTAGGGTTAACTACGTCCCCATAATCTGTACATGCACGTACACTAATTGGGCCGAGCCCAATATCACTAACACATACATTGATTAAGTACATCAATTTAAAGAATCCTAACTTCCCTGAGTCTAGAAATTCATTTCAATTTTATAATTTGGACACACTCTTACTCACTAGAAGAAGATATAATAAAGGGATGTAAATTGATCACTCCAAACCCGAGCACTATAATAGCATAAGAGTGACAAAATGAAAATTTCAAAGAGACAGTAAATATTTTATCATGCTGTGACACTAACTAAAGAAAAAGAATTTAAGGAAGTAATGAAATTGTGTCTCTGAAGTCCTAACCAATAAAATGATGAGTAATGTGATTACTCTCGCAATATAAATTACATGAATTATTGATTTTATAAGATAACAATGATAATATTAATTCAATGATTAATTTATTTTGTAAGATAACCACGATAACATTAATTGGATGATCAATTCATTTCAGGGTCGTTTGGATGAATCAATCTAGAAATGACAAATTGACTCGTTTTATAAACGAGACAATTAAAACGAGTCAATTCGAATTACCTGCCCCACCTCAGGTAATTGAAATTGACTCAAAACGGATCAATTCAAAATACCTCAGCCAGATTGATCTACTCAAATTTTTTGTTGACAAACGAGACAATTTGGTACAATTGTCTTAAAACGAAACAATTGTGTCAAATTGATCTGTTACAATTCCTAAGGTAACATTTTACAAACCAAGAGGGATAAATAATGCCAAAAAAGTTCTCCTTTGATAAACTTCTTCAATGGCGAGTTTACAAGCGGAATACCTTTAATTCACCCAAAGATATGGAAAGGATTAAAGGATACGGATTTACAAGAACGTTGGAAAAAATTAACAAAAGGCCCCAAGTAGCAAAGTGGAATCCACTTCTATTTTCAGATTCACTCCTAAGCTCAACCGGGTCGGGTCGGGTCGCGTTCGGGTTCCGGACCCTACACAACTGCTTTCAAAACGAACGGGTGCGACAGCAGCTGCGCCGCCGTCCACCGCCGACTAGAATCCTTCTGCAAGCAACACTCGATAAAGCTCCTGAACTCCTCCGACGAGCCCTCCGGCAGCGGCGGCGGGTCGCCGAAGCAAATCGCACACATCAAGCTCGACCAATTCGGCCTCTGACCGGGCGGCAAGAACGGGAAGTGTCCCATAAAGAGCTCCAACAGAGTCAATCCCAAGCTCCAGACGTCGGCGGCGTAGCCGTCGTAGTTCCCTCCGTACGAATCGGGATCGAATCGCTCGGGGCTCATGTAGGCGCACGTCCCGACGTACGAATTGCAGGCATCGAGCGTCCGGCACATGATTTTCCCGACCCCGAAGTCGGCGATCTTGACCTCCATCGCGGCGTTGACCAGTAAGTTCGACGGCTTGATGTCGCGGTGGATGATTTTCCGGCCGTGGAGGTAGTCGAGCCCGGCGAGCACCTGGCGGGCGATTCCGGCGAGGATCGATTCGGTGAAGAACTCCGATCCTTCGCTTTTCAGCAGCGAATCGAGCGTCCCGAGGTCCATGTACTCCATCAGAATCGTCATGTCGCCGGAGGGCGTCTCGGCGACGCCGTGGCAGCGGACGATGTGGGGGGAGTCGGAGGCGCGGCGGAGGATCTCGACCTCGCGGAGGAGCTGGCGGCGGGCGGCGGGGTCGGAGTCGGCGCGGACGAGCTTGAGGGCGTGGATCTGGGAGGTGCGGCGGTGGCGGACCTTGTAGACGGTGCCGCCGTTGCCGTGGCCGAGGACGGAGAGCTTATCGAGGTCGGAGGAGAGGAAGGAGGAGGAAGTGGCGGGGGCGGAGGGAGGGAGGGGGACCGGGAAGCGAGGGCGGCGGTCGGCGGCGAGTTCGGGGAGGCGGAGGTTGAGCTGGCGGCGTTGGCGGACGGCGGCCATTCGGTGAGAAGAGAAAGGGGAATTTGCCGAATTAGGGATTGGGATGTTCTGGAAGTGGAAGCGGTTGAGGTTCTGGTTTATATATTGGGGATGAGACGATGAGTAGATAAAGTTAGACGGGAGTTTTGAAGTGGGGAGGAAGGAAGGCACGTGAGAGTGGCTGAGTGGGAAAAAAAGGAAGGGAGAAGGAAGGAGGAAGGGTGACGTGGAGAGTGGTTGGGCCCGCCAGGAGGAACTAGGATCCAAACTTTCTTTTTGGACATTTTGTTGGTGTTATTTTATTGGGTAAGTTAGCTCAACTTGTTCGTGGGCTTTGGCCCACTTCTAATAATAAACTAATGTACCCAAGGTTTAAGTACTATAAAGCAACGTTTAAAACCTCTCACGCATTTTAATTATAGCTTGGCTGCTGCTTGGGATATGTTTTCAGATCCATGCACCTTCGAGATTCCTTCCTATTCTATTCTTCTGCTTGTGGTTTAATAATCCGACGAATCTTTGTTGTTATTATCCAGACGTTTCAGGTTTTTGCTCAAATTCTTATTACTATTATTAAGTCAATATTGACAATAGTATACATAGTTACATACCGGTTTTTATGTTTGTTTCTAGCCCATTGTTCTAGCCGTGGCCTAGTTCAGTATTGGACTATTGGTCTATGCCCTCAAATTGTTCATCGATGTTAGCATGCAAAACATCGACCTTACATTTAGGTGGCTACGATTTACATACTTTTTTTATTTGTTGAAATACTTTAAATTTGTTAACATAACATTATGATGGGTAGCTGTGGTTTCATGTAGCAGGCTGAGTTGACACATACACATCTCTATATAGATTACTCTCCCAAATTTTATCCATATATTTTATTTGAAACGAATCAAATACGTCATATGTGAACTAAAGTATACTCTCTTCCTAGTTCCTACTAAAGTAAAAGTACTAATACCTCAACTGCTAAAATACCAGGGGGGTTATGAATTATGATTATTCAAATTTAATATTAATATTATATATAATAATATATTTTATATTGCGAACTTCTAACTTCTTGCTGGTCACGTCCTACATAAATATGGATCTTTTTTCCCGCAACGGCAAGAAGTAGAAGGCGACGATTGAGACCGATGAGAGAGAGTGGTGGGCTGGGCTGGCTGGTTCCTGGCTGTTACTCATTAGTCCACTAGGCTTGGTGCCTATCTATCTACATAATGTGACTCAAATATGAAGGAGTGTAACTAATAGCCGCCACCTCATTGGATTTATTTGGTCATTGTTGTCATTAATTTCTTATTCAGTCCTCAAGTTTTTATAGAAATTCACTATTGATCTCTTTGATTCCGTCTTTATATGTATCTCTCTGAAATGAACTTTGGTGTTGAATTCAGTGTAGTCAAAATCGCGCTTTAAAGCGTAAAACCGTACGATTTTACGTTTCTAGGGTAGAAAAACGTTTCAAATCACTAATAAAATCGTTTTTCACTCAAAATCGTTTAAAAGCGTTGTAGAATCGTTAAAATCGGTGAAAACGGATAAAATCGCGTTTTCATACCGTTTTTTACGATTCCAAGCAAATGAGCAAATTGTTGTCACTCACTCAAAACGACGTCGTTTTGAGTATTTTGGACCCAAAAAAAGGGGGGAAGGTAGGGATGGCAATTTCGACCTGACCCGATTTACCCGACCTGTTTGACCTGTTTTGGGGCGGGTCAAACCCGCCCCGTAGGCGGGGCGGGGCGGGCATGGGTACCTCTCATCGACCCGACCTGCCCTGACCCGCCCCATTCTCGACCCGTTCTTGCCTAAATTACATATAATCTTAGTCAAATTACTTAAGATTTTTCTCTTGTTACATAATATTTTAGCTATAATAAAGTTGTAAATAAGTGAAAATCTCAATTTCTTCAATAATTTAACTACATTTTATCATATTATGGTTTCTTTCTTTGTCTTTCAATGAAAAGAACGAATATTTCTAATGTTTTTCACATAAATTACATATTCAATGGGTCGACCTGCCCCGACCCGCGCCCCGTGATAAATTACCCGACCTGGACCCGACCTGCCATGGGACGGGTATGGGTATCGAGCAAGGTTGTCAAACCGGTTTATGCCAGTGTGCCGGTTAGCAAGTGGAATGGTTCAACCGGTGGCACATACTGGTTTGTGCCGGTTCATGCCGGTCAATATTACAAATAAAATTATAAATACTCATATTTAAACATGACATTTAACGCCAATACCTAAACATTTATACTTGAATCCAACAAATAACATCAATATTTAACTTTTATACTCATAAAATAAATAATAAAATAATTTTTATCAATTAAATTCTCTAAAATAATGTCATTTTACTTAGAGATTCGTATATCGATCATGCCGGTCATACCGGTGGTGTCACGCCGGTTTTATGACCGGTACCGGTTGAACCCGGTACAACCGGTGGCACGCCGACCGGCGTGACAACCATGTCGAGATACCCGCCCCGGACCTGCCCCATTGCCATTCCTGGGAAGGGGGTTATCGGGTTGTGGCTTCCAACCAATTCCCCCCGCAATCCCTAATTCCCTTCGTCTCCATCCTCCACCAGCACCCAATCTTCTCCAATCTCGCCGAAACCCTTCTCGAAGAACAACCCGTCGGCGCCGCTGCGCGGCAAGCCTTCCAGCGCAGGATTCGCCGTCGTCTTCCACCGAAGCTCTAGCACGTAGAACCTGTCGCACTTGCCTCCTCCAGCGCCTGTCGCACACTCGCCAGTCGCCCGTCGCCACTCGCTGACGCCACACCAGGTAATCACTTGTTGTGGTTGTGTCATGTGTGGGTATTATTGTTCGACACAAGCTGAGGATTTTTTAGGAGTGAAGCCAGTGATTGCAGGAAAGTTGAGGTGTGGCAAGAGCTGCATGCTCTGGTGGACCAATTACTTGAGGCCTGTCATTAAACGTGACAACTTCTCCCTTCAAGAGAAACACACCATCCTTGAATTGCACAACCTCTTGGGCAACATGGCATTTTTTGCTTCTAAACCTCTTACTCCCCTTTCCCTTGCCCACGACCATTATATTATACTTTCTTTTCAAATTAAAAAAACCAAAACACATGACCATTTTGGCTTTTGATATTTAGATATTGATTTTATTAAAAATATGGGTGCGAGAGAGGAGAAGAGGCTTATAAGCTACTTTAGGGAGTTTTGTGATTGTTCGGATTCACCAAAAATATGCTTGTTCGGATGTAGTGATTTTGTGATATACAGCTTGTTGAGATGGTTTGAGAAAGTTGAGAACTTGAGATTTTGTGATTTACAGCTCATATTGTTTATTTTATGCAGGATTTGCAATTTCAAGTATGTCGAGTGGGGGTACTAGTGCAAGCAATACTATATCCAATTCTAAAGTGAAGAGAGAGAAATGCACAGGGCAATTGTCTAGATCCCGGTTGGCAACATGATATAGATGTACTCGGATTATTAAACTCCTATGTCATTATGTAAACTTAAATCAGCTTGTGAGAATTTGGATTATTATCTCGTTTGTGGGTTACGATTTATGTTTATGAACTATTGTTAAGATGTTATGAGTTTGTTCTAATTTAGACATGAATTGTAGGTATTGATTCTTTTATCTAAACTTTGTGCACTCATATTTTACATAGTTTATGTCGTAGTTAACAGATTTTTAACTATTATACATGATGCATTAAAAACTTACGCTTTTACGTTTTGATTCACCGCTTTTCGATTTTACCCCTTTTCCGCTTTTAGGTAGAATCGCGCTTTTAACTGCATTGGTTGAATTATCATTAATGAATCACTCTGATGACCTGAGTTGATCTCGACACTTCTCTACCAAAGTCTATCTTTTTAGCATGATAATGGTAATTTTTTCCTTAATGATTAAGTGGGCATTGATATTTGGCAAAACCTACATGGTAGAACACTAGAAGTTAACAATGCTCGGATATCAACAACAGTATTTCTAATTAGTAAACTTTCGAATAAAAGGAAAATGATGTTGTGAAAGGATCGAGAAACTTTTTGTTGTTGTTGTTGTTGTTGTTTTTAAGGTCATTCAGAATAGACAGAAGATAAAGATACATGTTTACCTCATGGGACTCAACAACAATCAATAAAATCAAATCCTACTAACTACTAAGCTCAATCAAATCCTACTAACTCTCCCATAACTAATCCAAACGCCCGAATAGACACTCAACAATGCATAACCATAAACTTCTTTAAGAAGTACTTCACCTCGTCAATGTTAATTCCGAAAGTTATTATCATTAATCTCGTCAATCGAGACTTGATCATCACCCTTTGACAACCATCAAACTAAAAATCGTTTGAAGCACCATGTAATAGCTTCATGTAGAGGCAGTGTCCCCAAAGAGACTGAAACGCGGAAATTTTGAGTAGTGTAACTTTCATGAAGTAGAGGAATCAGATTGTAATGGTTATAGAAAATCTGGGGGTCGACGATGAATACTATATATTTGAAAAGGACTAATAGTTTTGTAATAAATAAGTTGTAAGTGGGGTTTATGTCTAGGTATTTTTTGGCTTCTTACGATTTGATGATGAATTTGTCGGGACTCTCTGTTCTTGTTCATTTCTTTTCCTTGTGGGTGCAATGAATCTAAGCCTAAATCCAACGAGAAATTAAATAGAGAGCTGCATTTTCGTGGAGAGCAAGAGCCAAGAAGGTCCTATATATGACATTTATTTGTTTATCACGTCATGACGAACCATGAAAACTACGTCTTCAATTAAACCATGTTTTGCAGGCTATACCTACCAATTTTAGCAAATAGATTTTAGATGATAAGTATATCCCTAATTATTCAAGCGCCTAGCTATTGCAACTTTTTATATACATTGTTGATAGTTTTGCTTAGAAAGTGAAACCCTAGAAATTGGCTCATTTCAAATCATTCTTTGTTTAAAGAGAGAAGGTTTGGTCACTAGTCACTACAAAACAAAGTGTATTAGTCTGCATTTGGAAAAAACAAGCAACAAAGGTTTAAAACCACAGATAAAACATGTTTCAAAATAAAAACTGAAATCAAAACTAAACCTAAATGCTGACCTTCATCTCTTGATCTAAACGGCATCAATCCGCTAAACTACTCTTTGATTTTTATGGTCGTGGTTCGGTTCATGTATTAATTTTTCTTTCAATATCTCGTGTTATGTTTATCACCAATTACTTATTTAGATGTCCGTAGTTATTGACATGTATCTAATTTACTCAATAAGAGATATGTTGTTGATGGAACATGTAGCTTGGCAAAACCTAATAAGAGATATAGCTCAGAGAATTCTAACTCTTCCATATACTATATATATGTCGTGTTTCTTTTTCGTCTTCCTATATTGTTTTCGATTCAATTCACCTCTAATACAACGGCTGATATAACAAATTAACAATGAAGTGTACGTGGGTTCAAATTCAACCCCCGGTTTCCTACTTCCTAGAAGCCATTAGCATGCTTAACACTGCTAGGGGACTATTGAATATGCATGTCCATGTTGGGCCTGTTAGTTTATCAGATGGTTGATTTAGTTTGGGCTGAGCAGCAGGCTTATGCGTAGCCCAATAAACCACATATTATATTCCTTGCTTTATCCCTGCACGATTTGCTTTTTGTGGGAATATTAGTGCAAGAATTGGTGATCATGATTCATGAGTAGTAGTGTTATTATTATAATCGTTGGCTGATAATTAACCTGGTGTTGCTTTTCTTTGTGGGCTCTTGATTAGACTAATGATTCCCCTAATCCCTTTTCACTGTAATTTAATTCTATCCCAATATCCCTGCACCCACCCCCAAAATGTTCTTTTAGATTTTACCGCGACAGTAAGTCAGTAACCGTTGGATGAGAATCGAAAAACAAGGCTGGGATTTCACTTTCAACCCTACATCTCAGAGTTACCGTGCTATATTGGGTGTCAGTAGATGAAATGTATTTTACTTTACACCCACACCATAGTGTCATAATTAAGCTCAACAAAAGGAGTATGAAAAGAGTTAATTTCAGTTTTGCGCATTCCGACTCGGGGTCTTTATATGCTAAGGCGCTTCATGTTTTAAGACCTTGTGTGTTTATAGACACATTTATCAGATTTATTTCGATCGGGAACAGTAGGAAAAAAAAAAAACATAAATTATGATACTAATCATTAGGGGAGGAAAGCTCATGCGCAAATTTTTTATTATCATAATTGTGAGGAAATGCACAGAAATCTTAAAAGGTATTTGTAACATGTAATTACTTAATAAAATTAGTGGTCAGTTAATTAAGTTACCATCACTCATTACATGGCCATTTACTGATCATCCATTCATCAGTCAAGAGAAATCGCCACCCTAAAGCAAGTAATATTCTTGCCAACTCATTTTTCACTTTTTATCAGATAAAAAATATTCCTTGTGTTTGTTTCACTTTAATTTTTGTCTCCTCTAATTGAAATTTGATTATTTATACACTGCCACTCAAACTGAGTCCTCAAAATCCAGCACTTTATTGTCATCTAGGCCAATTACCATCTCCAGCAGATCGAGTTGATGACCATGCACGTCGACGGCGGACCATCCAACGTGGCAGGGGGAGAACATCACGATGGTGATCGTCAGGTGAGAATGGACGGACAGGATCGTGGTTCGAGATCGGGCAAGCATTCTTGGAACCACAGGATGATTGGGCCGCTGCTCAGAAATGAGACGCTCAATGTGGCCGGCGATGGACACGCCGGCAGGCCTCCTTTTTTCATTCGCCCCGACAACCGGTAACGTTTAATTTTGGATTGCTTCTCCTAATTTAACCCACATAATTAAAGCCCACTGCAGAGTCTAAAAGAGTGTATATAAATAATTCACCAAATAATTTCTTCTACAATTACCATAAAATATATGGATTGGACCACGAGCAAAAATCGGAATTACTTTCTCACAAATTTCTGATTATTAGAAATTTAGGATTGAATGTGATGACATTTTTGTAAACAGATTCACTATGTATAATTAACCACAGTTAACTCTAGATGGGTAACCAAATGGTTACCATAGTTAGGCAATTAATTGTTACTAACTGGAAAATCTTGCAGGTGGTACATTGTTTGGGTACATTTCATACTAATTTGGGCAATCTACTCATCCTTCTTCACTCCTCTGGAGTTCGGGTTCTTCCGAGGTTTGCCGGAGAACCTTTTCCTTTTGGATATCGCCGGGCAATTCGCTTTCCTCATCGACATCGTCGTTCGCTTCTTCGTAGCATATCGAGATGGTCACTCATACCGCCTTGTCTATGATCGCAAACTCATCGCCCTTAGGTTAATTGGTTTCCATACTATTTTTTTCACTACTCCCTTTTCTTTGCTTTTGATCTTTTTTCACAGTACCAATGTCGTAGCTAGTATCATTAGCGAACAAGAGTTTGATCCAGTGATATTACCACTAATCTTGCACCTTATGCAAGTCCCAGATTCTAATAGTAACACAAATTTCCTCTTTCTTCACTTCAGGTACTTGAAATCTCGCTTTATTGTTGATTTCCTTGGTTGCCTACCATGGGATGCTATTTATAAGGTGAGTTTCATGTTTTTACTATGCATTTTGCTCGATGTATTTGAAAAGCTCGTATTATTCGAGTATCGTTCGCTTGTTAAATTTGAAAATTCTCTCGTCCCGGCGTTTTTTGTTAGGCTTGTGGAAGAAAAGAGGGGGTGAGGTATATGCTATGGATTCGACTGAGCAGGGCAAGAAGAGTGGACGAGTTCTTTGAAAAGATGGAGAAAGACATCAGGATAAATTACCTGTTCACAAGGATAGTCAAACTTCTTGTGGTCGAGCTCTACTGCACCCATACAGCTGCTTGTATATTCTACTATCTGGCGACTACTGTTCCTCCTTCACAGGAAGGCTACACTTGGATTGGGAGCTTGCAGATGGGAGACTTCCACTATTCAAACTTCAGACAGATTGATCTTTGGAAGCGATACGTCACCTCACTCTACTTTGCCATTGTTACCATGGCGACCGTCGGTACGTTACTTAATTCGTGATGACATGCATTTGTTTCGAGCGTATTTAGAAAATATATGTATTATTATCCATTCAG